TGTGTGTGATTTTTTAATCTTGTTCTTTTAAAATTTACCCCTGCAAAAGGTCTACCAGTAACCCTGTCTAGTCATTCATAACTGTTTTTGCTTTATCTCATAAAATTGTTAGAGCCTTTGTGAGAAAAATAAATACATGTATACGCATATTGTACACAACTTCTAGAGTCTAAATTCCATCCATGAACAGCTACATGCATGTTCTGTCTCAAGCATTCATGGACTTTCACCTATACAAACATACAGGTCCCCATGTGTATAGATTTAGTCCAGTAAGAGAATGAAGAAGCTTAGTAAAGGTAGGATGACTTCCCAAGGTTATACTGCTGATTGACTGGTAATTAATTACAAACCTTGTTTTATAACCCAGGTTTTGCCATTTCAAGTACTACATACAGCAGGAATCAGTAATGTTTGGCCCTTTAACCCAAACTGGACTGCTGCCTGCTTTTGTAAATAAAGTTTTATTGGAACAGAGCCATGCCTACTCATTTATGACTCCTGTAACTGGAGGCAGTTACACGAAGCTAGCTCCTGCTTCCTGTCTGGATCATTCTGCATTTCTGTGGTGAAAGTGGACCCAAGTAAGTTCTAGATGTCCTAGTAAAATCATTAAAAATGTGATTACATTAAAAATAACAAGCAATAGGATGGTACTTTAAAAAGTCAAGCAGTTTTCCTGTTTCTGATCACAGTAGCCAATGTTTGTGCACACCCACTGAAAACAACTGAAAATAGGTAAAAATAGCGTTTTAAAGAAATACTAGAGACAGTACAGAGTGTGTGCCCAGTATTAGTTCTGTGGCCCCTTTCCAAGGATAAGAGGCAGGTCCCATCTCATGGGGTTTCTTGCCTTCCTCATGTTAGCCTGCTTCCTGGGACAACTTCTCTTTACCCCAGAAGAACCCCACCTGCTCCTCTTCTTAGGCACCACAAATCTCCAACCCTTTCTCCCTCTACCCCCAGCTCTAATGAAATGTGCAGGGGCTGGATGACTAGAAGCTGCAGCCTGGGTCTCTTCTGACAAGCCAAATCACTTGACCCCCGGGAATCTCCTTAAGAAAATTAATGGTGTCGATTCAATATGTCTGTTACAACTAAAAAATTACTTCATTTGAATTAACTGAGTCTTTTCCTTCACTGTGTTTCCTTCTCTGTCCTCCCAACAACCCAGCATTCCGAATACATGCATCTTTGTCTTTCCTTGTAGGATTTAAATCAGAGAAGCCTGCGTAGGGAGATAAATAAGAGGTATCCTTGCCATCGCCCCTGAAGTGGGAGGGGAGGAAACCTTGAATGGAGAAAAGTTTTTGAGGAATAAAGTGAGAAACAACTTCATGAGTCTGAGTGTGAACATAGTAAACTAGGGAGAAAAATGTATCGGTATTCATGGGTGGTAAACTAAAAAAGGGAAGCCGACTAAGTAAAATCCTGGAAACTGCAATAGAAAGATGTAAGATGCTCTAACATGAAGGGTTCTTGGGCAACCATCCCATCCGCAGCATCTCCACCTGCCCTCCTGATACCCTGAGAGAGCCAGGTCAGGATGTGATGGTGCAGTGCCTGCCAGCACTTTGCTGCAAAATCCCTCTGCACTCAGTTCTGCAAATATACTGCTTTCATTTCATTTAAAACCCCGCTTTTGTGAGAGGATTTCAAACAACAGTGAATTCAAGCTGAGTCCTCTCGGGACAAACATATAGAACTACAGTTCCAGTGTCAGTGCCAAGGGTCAGGTTTTCACTGTGCAGCTGGGGCTGCCTGCATACCCAGTCACGTAAACCAGATACATTCTAGAATCAGCCAGGTCTTACCCAAAATGCGAATAGAAAAAAAAGCCCCTAAAAACATATTTTGTAATTTCATTTTATGTGTGATTTTAAGCCACCTCAGAACTCAGCTGTCTACAATAATTTATTTTCACTAGTAAGTCATCTGCCTGGAATTTGGCAGATCTAAACTGGGCTTGGGCTAGATGGTTCCAAGCCTGAGTCATTAAGATGTGCAATTTACAGAAACAACAGAGGCTAGAGGAACAAGTTAAAGGACACTCTAATGATGCAGTCTGCATAATGCAGTAGTATGCAATTCTACAAAAAACTAAGATGAAGCGAGGATCAGATTTCAGAGACATACTAGTTAATCCAATTTGGACCTCATTGGATTCTGAATGAGACTAAAAATAAATGTCATAACACTTTGAGACAGTTGAACATTTGAACACTACGTTACTTAATATAAAATATTTTAGGTGTGATAGTATTATGGTTATGTATCTTGTATAGATACAAGCTGAATTTACAGAAGGAATGATTTGTCTGATTCAAGTTAATAGGGGAATAGAGAAAGGAATGGTTTAGATAAAGCATGATTTTCCATAAGTTGAAATGTACTTATTTAGCGGAATATTGGCCTATAGTTGCCATATAAAAAACTGCACATATTTAAATGTACAATTAGCCTACTTTCCTCTATTTAAAAATTTCTGGAATAGTGTAAAGAAAAAGGACATCAATTCAGCCATTCTAAAAGGACACTTCATTTACAAAGTAAGCATAAGGTCATATTCCTTTGCCCTGGAAATGTGAAAAGTCTGAGAAGAGATTTAAGGGACTGAGTTTCATTGCTGTAGTTTTCTTAATAGATTCCTCTGCATTGTGTATTTGAAAGGTAGAGGATTTGAAAGAAAATTTGCATAACATTTGGGACAAACCATGGGTTTTTTTTTTTAACAGCTTTATTGAAGTGTAATGTACATATCATAGAGTTTAACCATTTCAGCTGTTCAATCTAATGTCTAGAATGCAGCCATCAGCACAAGCTGGGTTTTTAGCACTGGTTTTTTGTCAATCATCTGGAAGAACTCCCTCAAGCTCATTTGTAGCCAGTCTACATTCCCACCCCTAGCTCCAGAAAGCCAGTGATCTGCTTTCTAATTCTGTAGTTTTTCTAGAAATTTCATATGCACGGAATCATACAATGTGTGATTTTTTGTGTCTTTCACTTAGCGTAATGTTCTTGAGTTTCAGCCGCTTGAGGTGTATCTGTTCATTCTCTGTTGTTGCTGCGTATACTGCATTGTGAGATGTACCATCTTTTGTTCATTCCCCAGTTGATGGATGTTCGGATTGTTTATATTTGAGGCTACTATGAATAATGCTGCTGTACTGCTGTGAACGTTTGTTTACAAGTCTTTGTGTGGACATATCTTTTAAAGTAATGTAGGGTAGTTATCTAGGAATGAAATTGCTGAGACATGGCATATTTCTTTTTACATTGTAAGAAACTAGCAGACCATTTTCAAAATGTCTGCCATTTGACATTCCCACTAGCAGTATGTGAGAGTTGTAAGCTTTGCACATCCTCACAACACCTGATGATATCACCTTCTTATCTTTGGCCATTCTATTTTGTGTGTGTGTGTGTGTGTGTGTGTGTGTGTGTGTGTGTGTGTGTATGGACAAAGAGAGAGAGAATCACCATCCAGAGGAATTGAAGAGTATTCCAAAACATGAATCACCAAATTTACCTTAGAGACTCATAGACTCATATTCTCAGTAGGCAATATCAATAAAGGAGAAAATAGAGACAAATATTTGGAATTGTGGCTAGAATATCCATTTGTTCCTTAAACTTACAGGTACTTCTTGTTTTACAGGCAGATTTAAAGAATACTAAGAAATACCAATATGTATGAACATTAGTAAATGATACGAATTGCTGTCTCAGTTATTGCCTCTTTAAAGTACTTCTTGTGAATCAGATCTTCCCACCAGGCTCTTGAGGAGTGTCTTGATTCTTTTTGGCCTTTTTATTTTCACATGATTTTAGAATTAGCTTGACAAATTCCACAGAAAAGTATATTGGGATTTTTACAATGACTTCACATAAGCTGTTGATCAATTTGGAGAAAACTGACATATTTACAATGTCTCCTAATGCACAAACTTGATGTCTCCCCATTTAGGTTAGTTTTAATTTGCCTCAATAATGCTGGATACATTTGCATGAACTTATTGCTTTGTTAGATTTATTCCTAAGTATTCAATATTGCAATTATAAGTGGTATCTTTATTTAAATTTCATTTTTCTATTTGTAGTTGGAATTTACAAATAAAATTGAGCTTTCCATATTGACATTTGGCCACCTTGCTAAACTCTTACAAATTCCAGTATCAATGTGGATTGTCTACAGTTCCAGAGGTTGGCAAACTATGCACTGTGAGCCAGATCTAACAGGCTGAAAAGGTTCTTACCTTTTCATAAATGGCTGTAAAAGAAAAAAAAAAAAAAGAAGAAGAATTTGATGTAGAATAGTATGTGACCTGTGTCCTGGAGAGCCTAAAATATTTATTGTTTAAAAAAAAAAAGCAGACAATACAGAAATTAACTAGAAATTATTAAAGATAATTAACACAGAGGGAGAGTATTTGTAAATTATCTTAAGAAATTCCTGGGCCAGGTGTGGTGGCTCAAGCCTGTAATCCCAGCACTTTGGGAAGCCGAGGTGGGTGGAATACGAGGTCAAGAGATCGAGACCATCCTGGTCAACATGGTGAAACCCCGTCTCTACTAAAAATACAAAAAATTAGCTGGGCATGGTGGCACGTGCCTGTAATCCCAGCTACTCAGAAGGCTGAGGCAGGAGAATTGCCTGAACCCAGGAGGCGGAGGTTGCGGTGAGCCGAGATTGCGCCATTGCACTCCAGCCTGGGTAACAAGAGCGAAACACCATCTCAAAAAAAACAAAAACAAAAACAAGAAATTCCTAAAACAACATCCATTTTCTCATTTTAGCAGTTTTACTTTTAAGCCTATTAACTTTTCTGTCACTCAATATCCTTTTTTTTTTTTTTTGCTGCAGTTAAAAAATCTGTAAAAATAGATTCTTCAGACTTAAATATAGTGACCCTGTCAAGCCCAGTTTCATAAAGCATGTGACAATATATTGAGTTTAAAAATGTGCTATAGCAGAAATAGGGAAGAAATTTACTTAGTAATTTATCCATGTAAGATTTATTAACGATGTAACCAAGACTTTGGAACCAACAAAGCTACTTTCATATTTTTATGGTATTCTTTCTAGATATTTAGATTAACCAGATCCTCTTAAGTAAGTTACTTGAGAAAGTTTCTGCAGTATTGTTACATTTGTTCTAAGTATACAAGTTGTTTCTCTGTACTACCTTCTCAATCCTATAAAAGAAGTCTTTATTAGCAAAGCAATTTCTAACACATTACTCAAAAGATTGGATTTAGTCCCATTTTAGTATCCCCTTAAAAAGTTTGACTGATGACTCTGGATATTCAGCCAACAGTGTTGTGTCAAAAACTTGCTTGAATTTATCTAAAAATTCATAGTCGGTGCTGAATCTGAACTTGTTTGCCCAAAGCAGCACCGTCCCTGGCTGGGAAAGGTACACCATGGTGGTGAGCAGCTTGTCCAGGAAGTAGTGATGGTAGACCACATCCGAGGCTAGGACGTAATCATAGTAAAAAGCTGACTTGGGAAAGTTTTTTTCTAGGTCTTCACCCCATACCAGCTCTTTCACTTCAGGCAGATGTGCTGTACATTGTAGTGTGTTTTTTAGAAGATTGTATTGAAGGTTTCCCAGGACATCAGGCAAATCCGTTGCTGTGACTTGAGCTCCTAAGAGAAAAAGAAAAATTGCAATAATGATCTGGAAACAGTTGGGCAGCCACAGTGTACATATACCCAGGGAGAAACACGAGAAACAACTGGATTCCTTAGCCTTGGCTCTATTGAGTGGGCTGAACATGTGTGACTCAATGTGGGCTGGCTAAACTTTCTGGTGAGCAGTCTTGCCCTGTGCACTGTAAGACGGTGAGCAGCCTCCCTGGCCTCCAACCACCTGATGTCAGTAGCTCCCCCGCCTCACCCACCCCCGGGCTTGACAACAGAGATTCAGAGTCATGCCTCTGGACTTAACTTCATCCCATGGAAACTGGTTGATTAGAGATTAACCTCCCTGAGACTTGATACATCTCTGTGGATAATAGTAATTCCTGCCACGTGGCATTTGGGGAAGATTCACTGAGTGAAGTCAGGGCCAGGCACCTAAACCATCGCCTGTCATAAAGTAAGCCCTTGCTATCACGGTTACAGTAAAGTTCTGGACACTGGGTCAGGAATAAACAAACCAACCTAAAATACTGGCCACAGTGGAAACAAGGCCTGGTCCAGCACCAATTTCAAGTATTTTTGCATCTTGGAAATTCAGTTCCTCAGCATGTTCCTCCAAATATTGACACAAAGCTGTAGCCTAAAAGAAATAATTATAACTTTTCATGTGGGTGTTGGAATATTGGAAACCAGAAGCAATCCTTTCTGGCACTCAGATTTAAATACTAAAAGACACGTTATTAAATATGTTCAGTTTATATTCATAAGAACCCAAATGTACGCTCGATGCCATACTTAGACCTCTGAAATAAAGAAGTTATCGTCAATTGCATCTAAGGAAGTGGGGAAGCAGATTTGTTCAACTGCCTCCATGAGATTTGCTCAATCTCCAAAGAACAGGAAGAACAGCAGATCAGTTTAGCTCTTTCCAATCAGGACAATGCTGGGCTAAAGAAACAGCAATTTCTTCCTCTGGTTTAATCATGTTGGGTCTCCAACTCCTTTAAGAATGTTGTTTTATATTAGAAGTCTTTTTTGTAAGAGAGTTTCTTAAATTATAGAAATAATTTCTTAATGTCATTTTATAAACTTGGACACCTCTTTCTTGGCTCCTTTACCAAAATTCAGGTTGGCTAATGCATTGGCGTCTAGAGCAACGGGGCAGTGACTTTTTAAGTGGTTCATCTAAGAAACAGACTATTGAGAAACTGCTTCTCAGACTCCAGGGTGCAAACAAATCCCTTGGGTGGCTTGTTATGGATGCAGATCCTCATTCAGTAGGTTGAGAATGAGGCTCAAGAGGCTGCACGTCTAAACAAGCCCCGCCGTGGTGCTCATCTGCTGGCCCACGGACTGCACTTTGAGTAGCAGCAAGGAGATTTCTTTAAATGTTTTATATATGAAAAATCTTGTTAGTATTTTATACAAGAAATCAAACATCCCTTTCTTCTTTATTCCTTCCCTTCTGCCTCCACCTTCCCCTAGCCCTTCTACAAAGAGTAAAGAGTATTTGATTCACATTGATTGATGAGATGTTTACATTTATAGCAATGAGGCACCAACTAGCAGTGCCCTGGATTTGAGAGATTAGGAAGAGTTATGAGAAGAAGATGACAAAGTTACTTAAATTCGCGTATGAATAGCCTAGAGTCGGGAACGTGAACACTGTGATTTAAAAAAACAATGAATTTTAAAATTTACTTACACATTTAGGCCCTAGCTAAAGACATGCCCCATCTTCCTCTGGACCCTACTTTCTATTTGGGGCCCAGTTTGCAGTGGGAGCAGCCAGGACGATTGGAGACGTGCCACTCTTAGGATTACCAACGGTAGGTTTAGTTGCCAACTTGACCCTGTAAGTCACTCCATTTCATCCTCATCTGTTCATATTGAACTTCCACAGGCAAAGATGAACATGACACAGTCACCCTGACTGTCTGGGAACTCAGGGGTGGGGCTGGGGGACCAGCTGAGCCAAGTACAAACTGCGTTCCAGGCAGGTAAGTGCTGGAGAGGAGGCATATCGCAGGGTGAGGGGAGAGGGGTCTCCATGGAGCCGCCGAAGAGTCGGGGCCAACTTCCAGCACCAAGGGCAGCACACTGCAAGGAGCTCCAGAGTTAACAAGGGAAGTTCTGGAGAAAAGAGTTCTTTGGTCCTTACGGAGAGAAGGTAAGTATTTGCTGTGGGAGCTGGGGGAAACGAGTCAATATCAGGAAGACAGTGGTCAATATCAGGAAGAGACTGTCACCAAAAGCCATCTAGAGGGCAGCTCTGAGGAACTTCCTGCAGGCCTCCTTCCTCGTTCCCTGCCCTGGGAGGGGCTGGCCCCAGGGGTGTCATCTGGAGACAAAGCTTTTCTTGGGGACAGCCATGTCTTTTGACATCGCAAACATTCCCCCCAGCCCCTAGTCCTGTTAGCAAACTCTGAAGGGACCTTTTCACAGAGCTGCACCTGAAGTCACATGGAAAGGGCACTGTCTCACTTTAGATAACCTTCTTGTGTGGCTTTCAGGAAACAGGTTTCATGAGAGGCTGGTGTTTGGTGCATGAATCATGCCTTGTTCAGAATGAAACAGTCAGGTGGGCAAATACTCTTTTTTCAATGTCTGATCTCTTTAAATTTTTTTCTTTTTTTAAGAGAGATGGGGGGTCTCACTGTGCTGCCCAGACTGGTCTCAAACTCCTGAGCTCAAGCAGTCCTCTTGCCTCGGCCTCACAAAGTGCTGGGGTGACAGGCGCAAGCCACACGCCCGGCCTCTGATCTCTTACTACATCACTTTGACACTACACCACCGCTGTCGTCTATTTGCCTGAGGTATTATAATAGAAAGCTGTGAGTTGTTTGGTGATTTTCAAACTTGTTTTCAAGGCAAAGAAAAGCCTTTGGTTGAAGGAAATTATACGCATAAGGTGTAGAAGTAGAGCTTCTTGTTTGAGAGTGGGTGAAGGTGGACCCCCTAAGAGCCTGGAGCCCTTCTGCTGCCCTTTCTCCATCCTGTGTCATCCATGGGGTTTCTGAGGGAGCCCCATGGAACGGATAACCGGGACTACTGAATACGGGGCCGTGGCCCAGCAGATGCGCGTCACCTGGGAACGTTTAAGAACTGCGCCCCACCCCAGACCTCCTGAATCAGAATCTGCATTTTTTCAAGACTGCAGATTGAGAAGTTCTGATCCGGAGCCTCTCTAAGCATTGACAATGTCTGCACCGGGAAAAGTGATGGCGCTGGTTCCGAGGGCCGCTGCCCAGCTTGGCTCGGCCCTGCACCCCAGTCAGGAGCTTTACCACACCAGCCGACTGGCCTGCGTCCGCATTTCCTCAAATGAAAGGTGGAAAGAAAGAATATTACATTAATGACGACAGCTTACGTGAGCTTACACTAGGACTTCATTTAATCTCACAACCTGAAATTAATTCTGGCAATTCTGAGAATCATGTCAGGAGGGCTGTAGGCGTTACCACTACCCTAGTTTTAAAAATGGTAATGAAGGCAAATGGAGGTGAGGTGAACGTTTGTGACCACCCAGGCTGGAAATGAAAGTTTTCCAACTCAAAATCCAGAGGACTGCCCCCATTTCAGCGCCATGCTCTCAAGGCTGTGGCAGCGGTGACATGTCACGAAGTCATGCCTCCTAAACGTCCCTACCGACACAGCCCGAGTGGAAAAGAGCAGAATGGCTGGCCAGGTGCGGTGGCTGATGCCTGTAATCCCAGCATTTTGGGAGGCCGAGGAGGGAGGATCACTTAAGGTCAGGAGTTCGAAACTAGCCTGGTCAATATGGTAAAACACTGTCACTACTAAAACTACAAAAATAGCCAGGCATGGTGGCAGGTACCTGTAGTCCTGGCTACTTGGGAGGCTGAGGCAGAAGAATCGCTTTAACCAGGGAGGTGGAGGTTGCAGTGAGCCAATATGATGTTGCTGCACTCCAGCTTCAGAGACAGAGCAAGACTCTGTCTCAAAAAAAAAAAAAAAAAAGAAATGAATGGCTAAGGGTCAGTGGGAGTGGCTCGGAGATGCCCACCACAAAGTCTAAACTCTAAACCCCTGGGTTTTTTCTTAACAGTTCATATAAATTTTGGATTCTCTTCCTCATATAGCTGAGTTTGTTTAATATAAAAATATTTCAAGAAACAGAGCTTAAGGCAAAACCAGTGCTTCTGAAAGAAATACTGTTTGTGCTGATCCCAAGCACACCACCAACACCCCCCAGGGCACGAGCAATTGACCCTCAAATTGAAAGACACAGGATATGAAGGAACTTGACATATTGTCCAAGGCAACTCGGAAACACAATTGTTATCTCCAGAAATCCTGACATCACAAACGTGACGGTTATCTCACCCCTGGCCACACCACTGCTCCGTAACTCTCTATGGATTCCTGGATGACAATCTCCTTTCCTGCAAACCGATAATGCTCCTGAGTGTAGCTGGCATAATCTGTAGGCACAAATTTCTGGAGGCTATGAAGAGATTGTTCTATCTTGTTGGAATCTGTGAAGCAGAAAAATAAAATGGGGTTTATAATTTGTTAAAATCCGGTGCAAAGACACATTTGGTACAATTGCTAAGATGGCATTAGATCCAGTGATCTTCCTTATAAACAGAGCGGATAATGCTATGAAGGAGAATGGCTGTAAACTGGCATAAAATTGATGGGGACATGAAATTTGAATGTGACATTTTTAGAGGATGGCAAAATGCCAAAGGATGCTCTAGGCCTTTTCCTTACTCAGGGGAGCACAGAAGAGGTGTGGATTTGCTCCCATCCTATGTTTTTCTGATGGAAAAATGGCAAACTTACCAGCAAAATGGCACGAACGAGCTGTCTGGATACAGAGGAACTAGGTAAACACAGACTTGCCTTTATTTATTTATTTAGAGTCGGAGTCTTGCTCTGTCACTCAGGCTGGAGTGCAGTGGCGCTATCTCAGCTCACTGCAACCTCCGCCTCCTGGGTTCAAGCAATTCTCCTGCCTCAGCCTCCTGAGTAGCTGGGATTACAGGCACGTGCCACCACACCAGCTAATTTTTGTATTTTTAATAGAGACAGGGTTTCACCATGTTGACCAGGCTGGTCTCGAACACCTGACCATGTGATCCACCTGCCTCGGCCTCCCAAAGTGCTGGGATTACAGGCATAAGCCACCGCGCCCAGACCAACCTGCCTATTTTTAGGTCTTGAAGTGAGGTAACATTCCCACATGCTGGCTGGAGCCTGTTCCTTCAAACCTTTCCTACAATTGCTGCTCAAAAGGCAGAGGCCACCCAAGCTCAGCCAGCCCCACAGCCCTGGGGAAGGTTGGCGGCTGAGCTCTGGCTATTAAGTTACTATTGCTTTAAATACTCCTTTAAACCCATGACACACACTAGCAGCTCTCAAATGGCATATAAAATGAGAGGAAAAGAGCACCTGATCGGGCTGACATGGGATCACAAGTGTTTGCAGGTTTCCCAGAGTGTTGGAATAAAAAGAGCAGTGAGTCAAAGTGTGGGGAAGAAGGATCAGAAGCAGAGGAGAAGGTGTTGGTCCCAGTGGTGGGAAAGAATTAACAGTGTGGAGACTGTTGGGGGTGCGGTGGAGGGGACCAGGGAAGAAGGTCACTTTTGTTTGCATGAAACCTGCCTTTGTGGCCTGGAATATGACTGGAAAATTTTTAACTGGGGTAAAATATGAGCTTTGAAAAAATCTGAAAGGGGCAGCCGGCCAACATTGGAAGTGTTTTAATCTGAAATAGACACTCTGGGTAGAAGGCAGGAGGAGGTGAATGAGAGGCAAAGGGAAGTGGGCCCTGGAAGAAACGCGGTAGGCAGGGCATCCCCCAGGTCGGGGGCAGGCCCCCCAGGTGTTTGAAGTCTCACTCATCCCTTACACACTGGAACGGTTCCTTGCCACCGCTCTGCAAAGGCTGCTGACAGCTCCACCGTAAGTAGAGGGATTTGGAGGGAGCCTTGAGAAATAGTCACAACCATTTGACAATGCCTGTTGAATCTAATTAAGAACAAAACCCGGAGCTTGTATTTTATATGTTTGTATATATTTTCGTTTAGTTTCCCTAGAAATTCATTTTTGTTTTATATGACAAAAGTATCAGTGTGCAGCACACTAAAAATATACGAATGAAGTGACTCATTTTGTAAATGAGCATCACGGGTGCCTTCCGCTCTTCGGAGTGTTGTTTTTGGCTGTGACTTTGATTTAGTGTGTCCTACCACTTTGAAGGAGAATTCTCTGCCGTGACAAAAAGGTGAGCTTCCAGAAACCTGGGACCTCAGTGAACTTGCAAGACCCCGCTATAAAAGGTAGCCAATTCAGTCCTGAGACCTTGTCCTTTCTGTCACCTGCCCCGGTAGGAGGTTGTAGGGAAATTGTAGGGTAAGGAGGGAACCCTGTAGCTTTCCTCACCTTTTTTGGGAAGCCACTGATGTTTACCAGAACCCTAGCTCCTACCACATGGCTGAGAAGATGACCCTGAATTCTGGCTTAGAGGCAGGAAGAAGGCAGAAAAGTATAAGCTGATTAATGTTCAATAACCAGTTCAGCCAGAGGGGAAGAAGCGTTGATTGACAGGGTTTGATGATTGCTCTGGAGTAAATACTCCCACCTGACCGATTTCAGAGGAGCATTGTGACGTCACTGGGGAAAGACACGCAGTACCTCACCACTGTAGGGTTCCTACCGTACAGACACCTTATACATGATTAATCTCGAGAGCACAGATATTAGGAAGATGTAGTAGAATAATTGATGATGAGTTTTGAGTATTTATCTCCTTTGCTTTTAATTCGCCTTCGTCTTTGATATAATCTACTTAATCGTAAAATTCTAACTTAAATTGAATGATGGTCATATTTAACAACCAGCCAGAAAAGTTGCTAAAATTCAGGTGCCAATACAAGCCATCTCCAGCACACCACTGGGTGGTGGCTCATGGCATCAGGGACCCGTACTAGCCCCTGCCAGCTTCCCTGCCCTTCTCCACTCTCATCCAAGCCATGCCTGTCCCTCCTCCCACGTGTCACCATCTGGGGATTTATTTTTCTCTAGAGACTAGGAAGAGTAAGTAGGGGGCTGATATCATTTCAGAGGTAAATAAACTGACAATTAAGCTTGACAGCTACACTTTTCCAATCAACATTGTAAAGAAACATAAACATATACGTCTTCTGTAAGACCCAGTGAGGTTCTGCAAAGGTAAACAAATGTATGTTTATCGCACCTTAAACATTTTCATTTATTCCAGCTGTACTCTTCTGATAGTTTTGTAGAGATCAGATTTTCAGATAAGGTAGAGTTGCATTTTTGTGTAAACAATTCAGTAAAAGTAGACACCATTCTCATTTATTAGCATTCTGATTTTTTTTTTTACCATTTTTAATTTTAAACACTCTAAATGCTACATCTTGGCTTTTATTAGATCATTTGTTATGTCTGTGATTTATTTACAACTGAATCCATGCCCAGAAATGTAACCCTAAACTGTTATATGGTCCTAATGGGAAAATACAGTTTGATTTATAAAGATTCACTTTATGGCAAAGCTGCCAATAATGCATTTTGGTGAAAAACAGAAACAAACCTAGATTTTTTTTTTCTTCTAAGTTCTTGTTACAAAAATATAGCAATCTTAGGTCTATACATACGATAAAAACAAATGTGTGAACTCTGATAAGTAAATCGTGAAAAAAGAGGAATTACTTTTAATGCTAAGTTTATGCTTGCAAACCACCATTTTTCCACTAAGCTTCCTTATAGTAAAAAATCTAGTGGTAAAAGGAAATGGAAATTCTTGTCACTGAAATTTACTTGAGAACATCATTGCCAGGAAAGCAACTGAGGAAAATTGTGGAAGTGATGAAGAAGGAGGTTACCTTCTACAGGTCCCCCGGTGCTGTCTTTCTGCAGAACACCCTTCTTCTCGGCCTCTAACCAGGCACCCGGCGAGCTCGGTTCTCCCCCCTGGCGCCCAGGCTGCTGCTCGGAGCTCAGACACATGTCCATAGCCGGAGCCTGCTGGGAGGAAAGAACTGGACCAGGCCCGAGGCGCTCAGCCCAAGACATTCCCCGAGGGCTCCGAAAGGTGTAGCTTAGCTGAGCTGAAAAGAACGCCTGCTTTTCAGCTTAGTTCCCTGCGTGAGCAAAGCAGCCACCCAAGGAGCTGTCATCCTGGCTTCCCAGAGCAAGATACAGGGAAACCATGAAGCATTACTGAACCTATGTGCGTGAAGAAATGCAGACACAGCAGCTGTGACCTGGAAACCGGTTTTTTGCTGCTCGGGGGCCTAGGGCAAGTTTTCGTTCTTTTGAAAAGTTATTCTTTGCCATCCTTCTCCCCACTCCAAACACTGTAGCCCATCACTAGGCGCTGGGACTCGAAACTGTGCCTCTAATAACTTTTGGACTGAATCGTGAAATCTGTCCAGACTTGCATGCCACTGGGGGTACGTGTGGATTCTGGGGTTAATGACATCATGGATGAGAAGCCGGATTTGGGAGCAAACACAAGGCCGCTCTGTTTTCCTCTGGGTCTCCGTTGCAAGACAGTGGAAAGCACTGGGGCTGGGGCCAGGGGGTCAATTTGGCTCCCGCCCGAAAACTGGGCAACTCACTCCGTCCTCTCGGGGACCATTCTGTCATCAGTGAAAAAGCGACCGTAATATCCGCCTACTTCCTAAGGCCGTTGTGAGACACGGAAGAGCAAACGTGATGATTACAGTACAGGAAATGGTACCTGGTACAGAACAAGAGACCCAGCTGTTGGGATCATTGATTGGTCCCAAAATAACAATGCCTGACATTGCCGGAGGAATTCCCACATTGCTGCTGCACATAGTTGTTGAAGGGCTCGGTGAATATTCACTGAATCCTCACAACAACCCTATGAGGTAGACACTGGCGTGACGCCTGTCTCAGATGAGACAAATTCAGGCTCAAAATTGCCCTCAGGGAACAAAGCACCCCAGACCCCCACCGTGTGGGTAATTCCATCTACACCTGGGAGGCCGAGTGCCCCACACATGTCTACACAACAGATTTCAAAGAAATGTGACTGTGGTGGAAGTAATGTGGCATTTCAAAGACGGTCGTCAGTACAGTTTTACAAACAACCAACTATTCACCCCAATTTTCCAGCTCACCAAGCCAGCCAAGAATGCACTAGCAGGCTGTGCTTCACAGGAGAATCTGTTTCTCTTGCAGATGCTCACTGGCTCCTTCTTTCCAGCTTTCCCATAACTCCAGGAAGTTAATTGTTCCCCTAGAAAATAGCAGACTGGTGGTTAGAAAGTACCTGGAGGGTCCGCAGTGTAGACGTCTCAGCACTGTGGTGAGAAAGCTGCCTGCCTTTGACTCTTGGCTGTGCCATGTACAATCCTTGTAAATAATACAGATGAGGGTGACACCCGGTTCATACTACGGTTGTGGGAATTCGGCTCATGCAAAGCCTCCTGCATATACAGTATCGACTGCTGTTCTTGTCTCCACCGTTACAGAGGAGACACATGGTGTGACACTGTATACCGAATTTCAGCCTGACACCACGGACCCTGCACACTAAATCTAAGACATCTTCATTTCTCATGCAAGAAAAGAACCGTTTTCAGTCAAATGCCAGTGGCAGTTTTCCTTGTGAAATGAAATGATAACCTCCCCATCACTGTAGACATGATAAATTAATTTTTCCCAAAGACAGCTGTGCATTGAAAAACAATCTGGAAAAGAACTGCTGTAATCTACTGACTGACTGTCATTACTTCAGCACATCTATGATCTACATCACGTTTGTATTTAATAGAGAATTGGAAATGACTCCTTGTTAGTATGCCCAAAATCATTTTCAACTGTTAGTTTAAACATAGTTTTACCTTATGCAGCAGATGAGATTTGAGGGTTCTGTGCCCCCTTTAATCCCCAGTGTTTTATATAGGCCTACACCTGAAAGGATTAGCATTTTATGAACAAAAGCCAGCCAGTGGAAGTCCAAGTTATTTAGGGTAGCATTATCTACCAGTCCTCATAGACACACTACTTTACTAGAATTCTCTCTCTTTCTCTCTCTCTCATACACTAGCACATACACACAGTCCTAGCAACATTAAATGGAATTGCCCTGAAAAGATACAGGAATATCACTCCAGTAGAGCAGAGGCTGCCCCGTGGCATCCAGTTGGTGTGATATGGCTGGAAACGTTAGACTTCCAGTTCACTTTTAAAAGAAGTGGGAGTGAACAGTTGCACAGATCTGCAAACTTTGTGCTCATTTGCCAAACTCTGGTAGCCACAGAGAGGACATGCCTGCCCAGCCTCTGCCTAGGACCCATAACCTGGCAGCCAGAAAGAACATAAGGATGTACCAAGAGGAAGGGAACGTTTCTGGGAGGAAGAAAGGAGAATGTCTATCCATGAGAAGGGAGAGGAGTCAAAGGCCTGAAGTTGAATCTGGGAGATTTAGAAGGAGCAGAGCAAATAGGAAATCAGAAAAGCTCTTCCAAGAAAAAGTAAGCCATTGTGATTTATTTAATTGAAAAAGGGACAGTTCAAAGGGAAAGAGGAAAATCATGTCATGTGCTCATTTGTGAAGCTCAGAAACCCTTAAAATAGAATATAGGTCATGTAAAGTAAAGCCGCAGACAAAGGGGAATGAAAGCATCATTTGTGATAGGCTACATTCAACCAGGGAGTTGGACGAATGCTGTTTTAACTCCAGTAGCTGTAAAAGCCCATTTTTGGTTTTTTACCCACCCTTGGTGCTCGTTTCTCTGGTGTCACTATTTTGTGTTCCCTATGTCAGTTTCTTTTCACTCAGGATGTTCATCTCGATGAGCTGCAGTCCCATATAAATCATCTTTCCCGCATTCTTCAGCAATGGGGGATGAGCTGGCATTTGTTCCAGCTCTTTCGTTCCAGTGCTTTCTTATTCCCCGAATGCATCCAGTTCCGTGACTGCATTCTACATCTCTATCCCTTATTTCTTCCAGGTATCATCAGTCCCTATGAGAAATAGCAAAAAGATGGTCATCAGTACAATTTAACAAAAAACTTTTTAAAACTGATTGCAATGTACATGAATATATGTCTATATGTTTATATACATATATACACACAGACACACATTTGCATTCATTCTACAAGCTTTAAAATAAAGCAAAGGACAAAGGAAAATATTTAATTTCCTTTAATTCTATTATCTAGAGAAAGAAACCTCACTAACATTTTTTTTTTTTTTTTGGTATAAGCTTTTTAAAAGCTATTTTACTGAAAATGTGACTGGATAGAAACATGTACCACTTTAACTTAGCATCCTATTAAGAGTTTCTTTTTAATACTTTCTTCAAAGTCATCTTTTACATAGCTGCTTTAAGATATCAGAGCTCTATTGCCTGGAGCTAGAGCACAGTAGATCAAAGGCTCTTAAACGCTGGACTTAAATGTAGGCAGGATTGTAGAATGAATGCATGTGTGTGTGTCCTGGAGGAGGAGGGACTGGAAAATTGGGGTCATTGATTGGTCAGGGTGAGGAGGATGAAATCATCAGGATGTGGAACCTGTGTCCTTTGGTGACTCTGCTTCTTGTGGGGTCCTTCAGACCTGCTGATGCCAGTGGATTTGTTGGCATGCAAGACGTGAAAGAACATCTTAAACAGAAAACAACATTTCATGTGGTCCAAGTTGCCCGGAAGCTTTAACATGCATGAACTCTAGACTCTGGCAATTCTTGTTCACAGGCTTGAGAAGGAACCAAGAACTTTGAATTCCCTGTCTGAGAATTGTTTCCTGACAATGTGGTAGCACCTGACACATAGTAGGTGGTGTAGTTGCTGAATTTGTTGTTGAGCAAAGCTTTGAGTATCCAAGCAGCCGTGGGAAGACTCTGAAGGTTCATGGAGGGGTTGGCAGGGGGCAGGGCAGGGAGGGAACAGAGCAGGGACACACAAGTTGTTTTCAAATAGTTGAAGTGCAGCCCATGAAAAGGATTAGTTCTCTTGCACAGCTCCAGAGGGCACGCTGATTAAGTCAGTTACCGGGAAGCAGATTTGGGCTCAACAGGAAAGAACTTTCTATCTGACAAGTAGAGCAATGGAACAATTGATCACAAGAAGCCTACATAATGGAAAGTGGACCAGATTTGGAGTCAGATGATACTAGATTGGATCAAAGGCTCAATAAGGAAGCTATTCGTATGCTGTCATTCGCCTCTGTTCATCAGTATGAGCACTGCCCTTTCTCCTATGGAATCTGTCTCTTTGAGGCTGTGGTTCTCAAAGGAGAATCCTCCTCTCTTGCCAAAGGGACATTCAGCAAATCTGAGGGAGACATTTTTGGTTATCATAATAGGGGGTGGGATGCTCCTGGCATCTAGTGAATAGAGGATGCTGTGAAATCTCCTACAATGCACAGGACAGCCCCTCACAGCAAAGAATTACCCGGCTCACAATGTCTACAGTGCAAAGATCAAGCCACCTTGGGACAGGCAAAGAATAGGCATAGCCATGAAGGGTAAACCCCAGTTGCCATCCTAGGTGTCTGCTGACTGAGTGATCTCAGGTGAGTTGCTCTCACCTCCACTGTGTCTCAGTGTTCTCATCTATATGGTGAAGGTGGATTCACATTGATCCAGGGACCAACCCTGAGCTGCATCTTCCAAGCATCCCAGCAGCCCCCACCTTACTTAGTCTGGTTTTTCAAAGAAGCAGACACAAAGGCAGGGATTTGAGTGAAAGTATTTAATTTAGAGAGTATGAATAATACAGCAAGGAAAGTGGATGCAACCCATGGAAAGAGTGACATGCTGCCACATGTGTGCCACAAGACCAACAACAGCAGCAGGCGCCCAGAGCTTAATCCCATGGGGAGATACTGGGAAAGGAGGCAGAACATACACTTAAGAATTATTCCACTTCAGCTTCAGAGAGCTCCTGTGGTATTTTTCCAGCAGCCGGGGCACTCCAACACATCTGACAGGCGTGAGAGAGGCCAGAACAGCATCTGCTACAGCTTCATAAGATGGCATCATTCCTTTCCAGAATCATCAGGAGCAAGAGAAATTGTATATATCTGAAAGCATCTGGCACAGAGCCAGGTGCTCAAAAGGTCCTCAATAAGTAAATGTCTCATATTATCTTCCATGTTGTTCAAGCAGAGGGTTGAGTCACAGCATTCCT